ATTAAAACAAGTAAAGATAACGATTCTTTTAGTAAGACAACGAAATACTAGAAAAATGACATGAAAGTAAAGACATTGTTTTAATAACATAAAGACTTGATAAATTCAACGTAAAAAAGGAAAGTACAAATGAGCGTGTTCGTACATTTTGTAAGGAAAGGGGAACTCTTTTCTCTTAGTGTGTGTTACTCAAAGTGTTTTTTTAAAATATTGACAAAGAACGCTCTTTTCTTCCGGTCAGAGTTTGCTTTATATAGGCAAATAAAATAACTGTCAAGTCGCTTCTAGAGCCGCCACGTGTAGGGCCACTACTTTCGTAACTTCCCCCATGTTCCCTTTGTCATATCTATTTCCCGCCAGGCAACAAAACTCCTTCGTCAGGTGTGCCTTTTGTTGTTTTGGTCGACCAGCCTATGTCCCTGTCGATCACGCATCCTTCCTTGGGACGTCGACTTAGGCTGCGTCCCTTTGAGACTTGTCGACTTCGAAACTTTGCTGCCAATATTTTTCACACGCTTTCTTCCACCAAAGGATACTGTCGATTTGGGGCGTTTCTTCCTATTTCCTGTCGAGGTCGATCCTTTTGCTGTCGATGTTTTTAGTTGACTCTTTTTTAGCCAACACATATATACTAATATTAAAATTATTTTGCATATTGTTATTAATACATTTATTTTTATCGAATAAAATTTAATTTAATTTAATAATATAATAAAATAATAAAATCACAAATTTCTTAATTAAAAATGTCCTTTTAGGTCATTTTGTAATTATCTAGTGTAACAGCTAATTTACCAAACACTCAAATTTACTTATCAACTACTAGTCATCATATATAAGCTATAAGCTATTAGCTACCAACTAACAGCTATCAGCTATAAGCTAGTTTTACCAAACAGAGCCTAAGAGTGTGTTTGGATGAGATAATTGAGAATTTCTATAAATTTTATAATTCTAAATAATTGAAATGGTTCAATTGAAATTAATCCATTTTTAAATTCTTTTGTTTGGATGGAGTATTAAAATGATTCATTGTTAATTTTTGAGGTTATTTTCATAAATTTTTAAATTTTTGGGTCAAATTTAAATTATAAAAAATAAGGGTCAATTTGCAATTTTTGAAAATCTAAAGAGACCAATTTGTAAAATTTGAAAATTATTAGAGTTAATTTGCAATTATTTAAAAAATTTAGAGGTGAATTTTAAATTTTCATAAAATATGAAGACTATTTTGTAAATTTTAAAAAATTAATAATAAACAATTTAATATTTGAATTATATTGAGTGGAGAAACAATTTAAAATTCTTTATTTTTTAGTGTCATTTTAAATTTTTTAAATTTACCTTAAATAAAATACTCTATAAACTTATGTTTTTAACAACTCTATATTATATTAAATAAATAAACAATTTATAATTTTAACAATTCTACGTTGGATAAATTATTTTAAATTTTCTCAAAAATTATTTTTTTTCATTATATTATTTCATCCAAACACATTCTAAATAAATAAATTGGATTACAGAGTTAAAGACATTAGAAGAAAATGAGTATTTTACCAAAATGTAAATAAGTCCTTTACGACCATTTTCTAAAACCGGGGCATTAATATTTGTTCAATGCTTCTGCCGATGCACTTTTTCGCCGTATCTGAATGCAAGCACTGATGAAAGAACGGTGCTACAAGCCGTTATGCATAAGCTGGGCTCTAAAGTTCTGGTCTTTTCTCACAACCCATTCAACCTTATGCCGTTTCTCCATTGTATACACACCGCCGTTGCCGCTTCTCATCAATCTATCTACCATTCCAATCAGCTCCTTAATGGGTTGTCAAAATCTGGTCGAGTTGACGATGCACGGAAACTGTTTGACAAAATGCCTCAAAAGGATGAATATTCTTGGAACACCATGATATCTGGCTATGTTAATGTGGGAAGACTAGTTGAAGCAGGAGAACTTTTTGATGGATTTTCATGTAGGAGTTCCATCGCATGGTCCTCTCTTATATCCGGGCATTGTAAATTTGGGTGTAAAGCTGAAGCTTTTGATTTGTTTAGGTCAATGAGGTTGGAGGGTCATAAACCTACTCAGTTCAGTTTAGGAAGTGTTCTCAGGGTGTGTTCATCATTGGGTTTGATCCAAACGGGGGAAATGATTCATGGGTATGTTGTAAAGAATGGATTTGAATCAAATGTGTTTGTTGTTACTGGACTTGTTGACATGTATGCAAAATGCAAGTGTATTTCAGAAGCTGAGTTTCTTTTCAAGGGGTTGGCATTTGATAGGAAAAATCATGTCCTGTGGACTGCAATGGTTACTGGTTATGCTCAAAATGCTGATGGTCGTAAAGCTGTTGAGTTTTTTCGTTACATGCGTGCACAAGGGGTGGAATCAAATCAGTATACCTTTCCAACTGTATTGACAGCATGTTCTTCTGTTTTAGCTCATTGTTTTGGTGAACAGGTGCATGGTTGCATTGTAAGAAGTGGTTTTGGATGCAATGTTTATGTTCAAAGTGCATTGGTTGATATGTATGCAAAATGTGGAGATTTAAACAGTGCAAGGACAGTGTTAGAAACTATGGAGGATGATGACATTGTGTCATGGAACTCCTTGATTGTTGGGTTTGTAAGACATGGGTTTGAACAGGAAGCTCTAATCTTGTTCAAAAATATGCATGGAAGAAATATGAAGATTGATGATTATACATTCCCGTCAATCCTGAATTGTTGCGTTTTAGGTAGTATAGATCCGAGATCTGTTCACAGTTTGATAATCAAAACTGGATTTGAGAATTATAAACTTGTTAGCAATGCTCTTGTTGACATGTATGCCAAAACTAGGGACATGAACTGTGCATACACAGTTTTCGAAAATATGCTTGAGAAAGATGTCATCTCATGGACCTCCCTTGTCACTGGTTATGCACAAAATGGCTCCCATGAAGAATCATTGAAGATTTTCTGTGACATGAGAGTCGCAGGGGTAAATCCAGACCAATTTATCGTTGCAAGTATTTTGAGTGCCTGTGCAGAACTTACTCTTCTAGAATTCGGTAAACAAGTGCATTCAGACTTCATTAAATCAGGCCTTTGGTCGTCACGGTCGGTGGATAATTCTCTTGTAGCCATGTATGCCAAATGTGGATGCCTAGATGACGCCGATACCATTTTTGTTTCAATGGAAGTTAAAGATGTAATTACATGGACAGCTCTTATAGTTGGTTATGCACAAAATGGTAAGGGAAGAGACTCCTTGAGATTTTATGATGCCATGGTTTCAAGTGACACAAAACCAGATTTTATCACATTTATAGGATTATTATTTGCTTGTAGCCATGCTGGTCTTGTGGATGAAGGTCGCAGATATTTTCAACAGATGAACAAGGTTTATGGAATAAAACCCGGCCCTGAACACTATGCCTGCATGATTGATCTTTTTGGACGATCAGGAAAACTAGATGAAGCGAAAGAATTACTAGATCAAATGGATGTGAAACCAGACGCAACTGTATGGAAATCACTCCTAGCTGCATGTAGAGTGCATGGAAACTTAGAGTTGGGAGAAAGGGCAGCTACAAATCTTTTCGAGTTGGAACCTTACAATGCTATGCCTTATGTTATGCTGTCTAACATGTATTCTGCTGCTCATAAATGGGACGATGCTGCGAAAATTCGAAAATTGATGAAATCAAAAGGAATAGCAAAGGAGCCTGGATGCAGTTGGTTAGAGATAAACAGCAGGGTGCATAACTTCATTTCTGATGATAGAGGACATCCAAGGGAGGCTGAAATTTATTCCAAGATTGAAGAAATTATAGTAAGAATTAAAGAAGCCGGCTATGTACCAGATATGAATTTTTCTTTGCATGACATGGATAAAGAGGGAAAGGAAGTTGGTCTTGCTTATCACAGTGAGAAACTGGCTGTTGCTTTTGGATTATTAGCTGCTCCACCAAGTGCACCAATCAGGATATTTAAGAATCTTCGAGTTTGTGGAGATTGTCATTCTGCTATGAAATATATATCAAGAGTTTTCACTCGCCATATAATCTTGAGGGATTCAAATTGTTTTCATCATTTTAGAGAAGGAGAATGTTCTTGTGGGGATTATTGGTAGGAATTTTTTTCTTAAAAAACTTCATATCAGTAATCCACATGACATTTTAAGCTTTGGAGCTTCATTACACAAAATTTGATGTATCTGTTTGTACTATCAAGGATAAACTCTTTTGTTATCATGTATACATAGAGAAATTGACATTTTTCCAGATACTGTGTTAGATGCATACATTGTTTAGGGATGGAGGAGGATGCAAGACTACATTTTTTTCAATTGAAATTGTACATTATGAGCTGCAAAATGTTAACATATTCAATTTTAGATCAATGAAGTTAAGGTTGAAAGTTACTTGCAAATCATCTAGTATTTTTTGGGTGGCTCAAAAGATTTACTTGAAAATGACCCATTCTCAATATGTAATATCCACTGAGAATGTTATGGAAAAAAGGCGTACAAGCGACCAAATTTATAGAGATTTAGTTGTACTTGAACTGTAGTTTAACATGATTTAGCAGTTAACAGAACCAAGAGAGAAGCTTGTAAAAAACTTCTAAGAAAAAAAAAAGATGCCTACTCATTTGATTGATGATTCCACATAGTCCACTTTGAGGAACAAACAAGCTGGAACTATATGTAGCATGATTAAAAGAATTGTATGAACTCATTATCTTATAAAAAATTGAGGCATACATCAATCATAAACTACTTAAAAACTGGACGTAACCCTTTTAGCAGGCACTCTTCTACATCATCCATGTGATTGTCATCTGCAGGTCTTTGATAACGAGGTTGCATGGTTTGAGGTTCAAAGGAGTTGTATAGTCACGATTGGGCGGGTTGGACAGACAGCAGAGACCTGAACTGTTAGCGAAGGAAGCATTGTTGGCCTGGTTATCTATTCATCCAAAAACCAATTTACAATACCGAAGAGAAAAAATCAACTCCTTGCATGCTCAGGAATGAGACGCCGACGCAACTCATCAGATGCGCCTGCCAACTCTGCAACATTTTATTGTTTATTTATGTAAGCAGTCACACAAAATTTCATTTGATCAATCATGTTTAGTTTATCACCATGTTACCTTGAGCTGTGAAATCAAACAAAGGAGGAAGTTCTTGCCCGTTCGGTAAGCGTACATTTGGGTCCCGAAGATCGTCAAAGAAAGAATGTGCACATGCATCCAACTGTAAACAAAATATAATTATCCCTTTATATTTTGGCTGCAAAAGGTATCATTTTATTATACCAGAATAAATTTCTTACAGCAGTGCAACGTAGATTTGGCGAATACTGCAGCATCCTCGATACAAGATCCACTGCTTCAGATGGCATACTTTTATGAAAGATCTGGATATTACATAAGTATTAATATTTATCGATTACGAATCCTAATATTCAGAGGAAATTAGGGAGTAAAGAGCTACTAACCTTGTGCCATGGGTGAGCTTTAATCTGAGGAAATTTGAACTCAGTGTAATTTGGATTCATGCACTTGATTTCTTCTCGGGTCGGTGTTCCTAAGATCTGTGGTACATAATTACACTCAGATTGAAGATCGAAAAACAAACAGAAAGCAACTTTCAAAAAGAAGCCGATAAAGCGGAGAGACAGAAGACACAACAATTTACCTTAATGATCTCTACCAACTGATCAACCCCACTCTCTCCAGGAAACAACGGCTGCAAACAACATAACTTGTCAATATAAGAATCAATCTAAAAATTGTCATAAGAAATGCAAAACCAATTAAGAATAAACCAATTAAGAATTTTCTCGCACAATGAGCTTTGAAAAAGTTGATTGCATACAAATGATGTTTACACATGCTCGACAAATTCTCACCTGTCCTAGAAGAAGCTCAGCCAAAACACAGCCAGCAGACCAAACATCAATAGCAGTTGTGTACTCCGTTGCGCCAAATATAAGTTCTGGAGCTCTATAATACCGTGAGCATATGTATGATATGTTGGGTTCACCAGGCATCTAAAAGATCAACACTATCATAAGGTCATGCACATACAATCATAAAATCTTCAAATTGATAGAGGAAAGAAAAACAAAACTTACCAACATTTTCGCACTCCCAAAATCACATATCTTTAACTGGTGACTCGTTGGATTAACCTGTAATGTGCAATCACAACACATTTGGAATTTCCTAAAATATTAAATATACGGTTCCAAACAAGAAAACTTGAAAGGAAAAAAAGAAACTCGTACCAATAGATTTTGAGGTTTGATGTCACGGTGACAGACTCCAACCACATGGTGCATGTAATTTAAACCGCGGCATATCTGCAAAAGAGATTTTACCATGATCAATCAATAACATTATAGACGAAGCTTATAACCAAAAACATCGATAATAATTAATAATTGTCGACAAAATTTCTAAATTACCTGATAAGTATATAGTTGGACATAGAGTATAGGCATGTGTTGGTGCATCCTCACATAGTGCTTTGAAACTCTGTAGACAGTTTCAGGTACATACTCCAACACTAAGTTAAGGTACACTTCTTCTTTTTCAGCCGTTGAGTAGAAACAATGCTTTAGCTTAAGAACATTAGTGTGTTCAAGCATACGCATAACTTGGAGTTCCCTATTTTTGTATCTCTTGTCTTGTAAGACTTTCTTAATCGCAACAGCTTCACCAGTTTCAACGCACTTAGCCTACAGTAGATTCAACGCAACGAGAATAAACAAAGAGAGTAACTTGACAATTCCAAAAGAAACACTGTTAAAGGGAATAGAAATACCTGATAAACAACACCAAAAGAACCGGTCCCAACTACACGTTCTGCCATGTATGAGATTATCTGAGCCAAACAAAAATGGAGTTATTGAATAAACAATATTTTAAGAGAATAGAGTGGACTATAAATTAAGGAACTGATCAGAAACATACCCGCTTTGGTTGTCCATCTCGACCACCAATGGAAGTTGTGATTATTTGACCGGCTTCTGTTCCATTTCCGTTCACAACAGTTGCCTCCATGTCCTGTACACAGAAAATCAATTACCAAGCTCAATAATTGATTGCTTCCAAAAGAGCCTCCAATCATGAATATAGAAACATCACAAAATAGAAGGGAAAAAAAAGGAATGAAAATGAATACCTTTTCTTTGCTGTTTTTGCTTTTATCGTCTTTAATTTTCATTTCATGTAACTCTTTTGGTAGCTGATCATAACCCGACTTCTCAGTTTTAGAGACCGCAGAAACAGTAGTATTAGATTTACTAGACGTATCTTCTTGCGACGCATCTACATATTTATCCTGATTATTTTCACCTCCCTCAGCACGATTTATTTCATTATTTTCTTTACCTTCAGCCCCTTGATCAAACTTGGCTCTTTTTGTGGTAGAATCTCCCTGAAAAGAAAGAGTTAGAATTTAACCAACGCATCTTGTAAATTCAGGCATGTAAATCTCTTGGGCCACCTGCTATCAGAAATCCGCTCATGTGTTAAGAGTCTCACACCAGAAAATATGGCTGAGACAATCCTCACCCACATGCAAGTGGTTGAGTTAAGTCCAACCACATTTCTTAACAAATCACAACTAACATATTAACAAAAAGCAAAACCCAATATACAACATTATCATCCTGTTTTGGCAAGGCTCACTTTCAACAACACAATCATGTAACACACACAAAAAAAAAACACATTACCTTGGAAAATCAGAAAATTTAACAATTTAGAAGGCAGAACATGAATTTGTAAGATCATAAAATGTTTTTACTAAAAAAAATCCACATCTCAAAAACAAAACAACCAAAAAGTGATCACAAAAACCACAAACTCCAAGACAAAAGGGAAAATAATTCACAGATGTAATAAACATCATGAAATATAGCTGCAAAAATCATAAAAGAAAACCAAGATCCAAATCAAGTAATTATTTAAATAAATAAATAATAATAATAATAATAATAATAATAATAATAATAATAATAATAATAATAATAATAATAATAATAATAATGCAATATTTTTAAAAAAATGACAAAAATGAAAAACTTACAGGATCTGAAGAAACAGAGGTTCTCCCAGAAGCAATGCTTTTCAACCTTCTCATCATATTCATACTTGTTGATTCCAACCCAACTCAATCAACCGACTCAAAAGACCCACAAATCAAACCTCAATTTTTTTTTATATAAAAAACGGAAGAGAGAAACACAAAACAGAGAGAGAGAAAGCTTTTTCTCTCTCCCTCTTCCCTCTACCTTGATTCAGTTCCCTGCAAACAACAACAAAAAATGGCAGAGAAGAAGAGAAGAGAAAAATGCTAAATGAAAAATGAAAGAAAACAACTGAAAACGCAAATCTAATGAAACCCTTTTTCTCTCTCTATCTAAAAAATGTGTGACAGGTGTTTGTTAGAATTTGAATGGTCAAACATAAATCCATCAATTCCAATCATTCTGAGCTTCAAAGTTTGTACCTTAGTCAAAGGAAAGATATCGACCGTTGATAAGAATAGACGGTCAAGATCTTCTAGTTTTGTAGGAAAATGTTTGTTAAGAAAAAGGATCTGAAGACAGATGTGAGAGATAAACGGAATATTCGAGGGTGTTAGATTAATGTTAATACGATGATGAATCATATGCGACATTTTAGGATAATGAAGAGCGTAGAAACGTTTAATACTTTACGTGAAAGAGAAACATAACCAAAGGTTAATCTTCACGGTTTCTATTTTTATTCTAATTGTGTTTAATGTCTACAATTGAAATTTTGAATAGAATGTGTCACATTTAGTCTATCTCGCTAGACCAAAACTTTATTGATAAATTTTGAATAGAATGTTTAGACTAACACCTCCACTTATACATTTAATTTTACTCGCTGTTATTACCTTTATGTTATACTTATTGTGTTTATCGTTTTTCCGAAGAAAATTTTCAATTTTTTTAATAAAACATCATTGATTTTTTGTAAAAATTTGAAAAATACTGGATTTTTTTGAAAAATCTGGTATAATTTTTTAGATTTTTGAAAAATGTCAATAATTCCTTTTTGACCGAAAAAATGTTAAACACTACTGAATTTTTTGAAAAATATCATACATTATAATATTTTTCGAAAATTTTGATAATGTAAAAAGAATTTTTTTTTTCTGAATTGAATATGAACTATCGTAAATTTTAAAAATTCAAAAAAAAAAAAAGAAGGTAGATACCAAATTTATTAAAAAAATCTGGAATATTAATTTTTCTTTTAAAAATTTAAAATTTTCGTTTGCACTTTTGACTCAAATTTGTCCATTGCTGGTTTGGTAATTATGAAAATGTGTGGGGGTGTCATGTATAATTTGGGAGATGACAGGTTAAATTCTGCTTTTATTATAAGTAGGGGTGAACATCGGTTCGGGCCGGTTCAGATTCAGGCCCAAAACTCCAATCCGGCCCAACCTTCGGGTGACATACAAAGGCCCATTTCCAACTAATTTAACCATCGGTTTTTTTAGGTTTGGGTTGAAATGGGTTCGGGTAACTGAACCGGTTTATTTCGAATTTTATTTGTAATTGGGTCAATACAAAATCCAGCCCAAATGGCAAATCCAATATATTTGTTTTTTTTTCTTTTTTAACTTGTTATTAACTACTAGTAATTGGGCCACTAAAAATGCACGCCCAATTACAACCTAATATAAATTTTATTTTAATTTTAAAAATGACAATTAACTAATTTTTTATAAAAAAAACTATTAACTATTTGAATTAAACAAAAAATACTAATTATTTATACAAAGGGACTGAACTTACAAATTTATAAATTTATAAAGTAACATGACATCAATATTATTTATAATCTATAATATTATTACAACATATTATTACAACTTATAAAAACCATTCAAAAATAGAGTTAGTGAGATATTAAATGTGTTATTTCATATTTCCTCCAACTCATTCATCCAAGTAACGGGTGGATTATGACTGTGAAGATATGAAAGACCCTCCAAAATCTGTCTAGACCATTTCTTCAAAGCTCTCAAATCAACATGTTTATGTTTCTTCCGATATCTACACAATTATCTTCATCTACTAAGATAGATTAACATTTTATCAATTGAGCATAAAAATTCATAAACAAAATAATAAGGATACACTTTCTTAAAAAAACCCTTCCCTAGAATCTTAGTACCATCAAAAAGTAAGAGTTACATAACAGAAAATATAGATCTAAAACTTTAAACCTATAGCTCACTTATAAGTAACAAAAGATAAAACTTTGACTTGTAATCTCTAAAAACTCCAGTATCTTTCAAGCTGCAAGATCAAAACACAACATTATTAAATACAAAAACTTTATACTTCGTAAGATTCAAACTTTATACTTAAGCTCAGTTTGAATTTTGGACTCTGAGAGAAATGTTAACAACAAAACAATGGACATGATAGTACACATACCAAGGTAAAATTTCCTTGCTCTTCAGATTTCATTTTCCTGTCACGTTTAGTTTCATTAACTTCAAACTTAAACTTAAGATAAAGATATAAGAATATAGCATTAAAGGAAAATTAAGAAAAGAACTGTAGCTTACCACACAAGCATCAAAATTCTCAAATTAGTATGATCCACCTCCATATCAACACAAAATGCTTCAAGTCCTTCAAGGCTATGTATCAACCATGTTCAAAATCTATCTAAAAAATTACAATTCCAATCAAACAATTTTTAACAGGCATTATGAAATTGCATTAATCATCATGTAATTCCCTCAATAAGAAGTTGCAAAACAAAATTCATATCAAAATAGGTCTTAAATGTCCTCATTTATTCAAAGAAACTGTCATATATGGAATTGAAAGATGAAAGGGCTAATTGATCATGGTGTTTATCCAAAATACACACATTTGAAAGGTTGATTGACCTCAGTAGACAGAACATCATACATAAACAACAATGACAAATCACCGTGACCAAGTTGGGTTAGTATCGGAGTTAAAATGATTTTACCTGCATTGACACAACTAGTTCAGCATTGGCATCAGGTGCAGGTACAGCCCGAGCTTCTCTTACACCTCTTCTCTCAGGATCATGTCTCTGGCCTTTGCTTCCTGTTGCCCCTTGTCTAAAAAAATAATGAACAAAACTATAAACAAAATTCTTATACTAAACTTTAGCAGCACTTAAGGACAAGGACCCCAAAAACCTAAGCTAACACTTCAGTAGAACTACCAAGCATCAGTCAGATTTTTATAACCATATATAATTCAGCATTGCTATGAATGAAATCATTTTAACATACGACTTCAAAAAATAGTGGAATGGATGCTTGGAAGTTAACAATATACTCCAATGCATAATTGCCAAATTTGAACGCTTACCGTCTAGCTTCTTTGTCCCGTACTTTGGCATCAAATTCTTTGCTAGGAGGATACTTTGGCAAGCTTGAAGGATCACATGTAGAGGCTTTATTGAGAAGAACTGAATTGTAAAATAAAAAGGAGATAGTCAGCAGCAAGGCATGCTGAAGTTTGAAAACAATAATTAAGAGATTAACACATAACTTTGCTGATATACATGGTAATTTTCATGAATACACATGATAAAGAGATAATATAGTACAGGGGCATGGATTTGTTTGAGGTTTATGACTATGCATTGACGGATTAAAAAGTTTTATAAGTGCATAATCGTTAAACTTTGTCTGTAACAAACATATATATGCACGAATATGAAACCAAAACAATCTAGAATTGCTTTTTAAGATGAACACAAAACCTACATTTGTAAATTAAGTTCAATTGATGTTTTAAATAAAACCAGAATCCACTATTTATATGTACCACTTCAATGAAAGAAAAGATTAAACAACAATAAAGGACACAAAAATTCACACCTCACTCATCAAAGCAGATGCTGAAGTTCCACGATCAGCAGGGTCTATGGACAAGAGTGTCTCTATCAGGTCTATTGCAGGTGCAGGAAAGTCCTTGAATGTTTCAGCAACATAATGCCTATAGGGTTGTTGAGGCTTAAATATCGTTGCATGAGGCAATTTTGATTTTCTCCAATAGTCCTCGGAAGGCGAACCACAAAGTTTAAAAATTTTATGTAATTGCTCCACCTGCAAGACAAAGTTGTAGTTTCAAATCATTTAATTATAGAATCAAGTTTCATGCAGAAAACCATAAAAGAACTAGTAAATTGTAAATAACATAATATTAATGGATTGGTGTATTTTCAGCAACTACCAACAATTTATTGTTAACATAGATTAATTGGTGTTGGATGAATTTTGAAAAGCCACAATGTGCAATACACTAGTCATTAACCTAAATTTAATTCTTTGAATTTTTTTGAAGAATGGATATTAAATAGAAGAAAATCAAAACAGAGAAAAAAACAAAATCAAAACAGAGAGAAATATGAAAACATTAACACAAATTTTAAAAGAGTTAAGAGATAGAAATAAACCTAAAGTGGAATGACGACAATGAACATAGGCGGTGGTACAGAGAGAGGCATCCAAAGATCTAAGGTGATACAAATAGATCGAAGATGATAGCAAACAAAGATGAAAGTGTAGCATCTGGTTAGATTAAAAACAAAACCGACAAAAACCGGTGAGATGGAGGCGCAACTAGGTTAGATAGAAGATTTGGGTTGGAACATCTGAGGCAAATATATAGAATTCACAATCTGGGTTGGACTGGATTATTACAAGAGTATGAACTAGACTGGGTTAAGATTAGATTGGGCCTAGCCATAAAGATACCCTTAGATTCGGTCAAATTTGGTTTCCGAAGGTTCCAAAATCAGTCTCTGAATCCAACCGCACAAACCCGCAAAAATCCTTACTGCTTTCCGACCTAATCTGTCAACTGAATAAACCTGAACCGTGTCTCAGAGTTTGGATCAGAATGGTCGGATACCATCGGGTGGTTGCATTATGTCCACCCCTAATTATAAGTAAGGGTGGGTATAGGTTGGGTCGAAATTCGACTTTTCCAAACTTGAGTCTGCTCTGTCAAAAAATTCAAAACCAAAGTCTGCCATGTAACATGTCCTAGGCTTTTTTTTTTTGAGCTTAATCTTTTTGAACGTCTGGTTGATCTACTAGCCTACTTA